AGAGAGAGAGAGAGAGAGAGAGAGAGAGAGAGAGAGAGAGAGATTCCTCAGAAGCCATTCACCTTCTTTATTGAGACAGAGTCTCTTTCTGGAACTCAGCGCTCACTAACTCAGCTAGGCTGGCAGCTGCCCAGTGAGCCCCAGGGATCTGCCTGTCTCTACCTCCCCCCCCCCCATGCCAGGGTTACAAATGGGTGCCACCATATACCCAGCTTTTAAAAATACAGTTTCGAGAGATCAAGCTCAGGTCCTCAAGACTGCATAGCCAACACTGTATGTATCTCTAATACCAGAACTCGCCACTGTCCCACCATGTACCCCTGAAAAGTCTCCGCCTCCCCACCATGTACCCCTGAAAAGTCTCCACCTCCCCACCATGTACCCCTGAAAAGTCTCCGCCTCCCCACCGTGTACCCCTGAAAAGTCTCCGCCTCCCCACCGTGTACCCCTGAAAAGTCTCTGCCTCCCCACCGTGTACCCCTGAAAAGTCTCTGCCTCCCCACTGTGTACCCCTGAAAAGTCTCCGCCTCCCCACCATGTACCTCCTGCACAGGGTTTTGTTTTGAACCACAACAAAAGATATTTTTTAAAAAAATGCTTCAAAGTGAATTAATTTCTGGGCTGAATGGCTCAGTGGTCCTCGGTTTGAATGCCTGTGGGGCTGTGGCTCTGGGGCCCAGCCAACCTGGAAGACTCCAAGTTCGGGCGAGTTGGCTTGGGCAGGCTCCTACCCTCCCTGGGTGTCCTCATTGTCCTCTCTGTCTTGCTGGGTCATCAGGGCAAAGGCTGGGATGTCCCACACACCGTGGGGTAGATACTCAACAGAGCTTGCTACTGCCGGGCTGTGTTCCCCAGTGCCCAGCATCCCAACCACTGAAACCTTCGTTAGGAGTAGACTAAGGGAGACCGAGCCCCAAGTCTCACATCTATTCGCTCCCAGCATAGGACTTGTGACTGTGTATGAGTCAGGAGGTAGGATGGTCTGAGGTGTGGGGAACAGTGACTGGGGGCAAAGTCATCTGTGGTCTGCATGTGTGCAAAATTTACAGCCCTTCATGGCCAGAAAGTGGGGGGCATTAACTTATCTGAGGAGAACTTCAGTTTCTTGAGGTAAAAAGGGCCACTCAAATGATACCTGTGGAGACTCAGGCGAAGAATAGTGAGAAATGGCCTTCGGGTTCCTGAACAGCGGCCCGAGCAAACGTAATTTTCATGCCCTGCTCTTCAGCGGTGTCAGCAGAGCGAAGTTATTGAGGGAACCGATGATATATACAGCCCAGTTGTGTGACCTTTAGAATCGGCGAGTTCTTAGGAAAACTAAAAATGACCAGGGAGGACACAGGGGGGCTCAACCAGAGCAGGGAATGATAAACGGGCCGCTGAGGGTTGGTATGTTTTGTAAAGCCAAGGATATGTTTTGTGTGGTACGGTGGGAGGGGGTGTCTCAGCAGGCCCACGCCGAGGCATCCCTCCTCCCCACCCCAGGTACCAGTCATAGGACGGTCTAGTATAGAATAGAGTTTATTTGGGGGCAAGGAAGGTGGTTGAGAAGGGAGTAGAGGCAGAAAAAGAGAGGGAACAGAAGAGAGAGAGAGAGAGAGAGAGAGAGAGAGAGAGAAGAAGAGGAAGAAGAAGAGGAAGAGGAGGAGGAGGAGGAGGAGGAGGAAGAGGAGGAGGAGGAGGAGGAGGAGGCTGGCTGGGAACATGTGGGGAGGGAGAGAGGGAGAGGGGAAGGAGAGGGGAGAGGGGGGAAAGGGGTCAGAGAGAGCAAAGGGAGGCCAAACAGTCCCTTTTATAGCAAGCCAGGCCTACTGGTTGTTGCTAGGTAACTGCTGGAAGGAGCCTAGAAGGAATGCTAACATGCTAACAAGGGTAGGTGAGGCTAGGCCTCAGCGTTTTCTGGCTGGTGATTATCAAAGCCAGGCTGTCCTGCATGGTGTCTTGGAAGTGTGGAGGTCATAGGCTCTGCATGGCTGCGTCCTGGGGACGGCTCAGGTCCTGCAGTGCCCAGGACTGCACACTTCCCATGCCTTCCCATGGCAAACGCCCAGCAGGTTGTAGTGGATCAAGCAAGGGCTTCCTTTTCTTGAAAGATTCGTCCCACTGTTTATGTGTATGTGCATATGTGCATGTGGGTGCCTGCAGGGGCCAAAAGAAGGTGTCAGATTCCCCGGAGCTGAAGTTACAGGAGGTTGTGAGCCTGGCATAGGTGCTGGGAACTAAACTTGGTCCTCTGCAAGAACAGTAAGTGTTCTTAACCCCGGGCCGTCTCAAGGCCCACACAGGGCTCTATTTTCATGCTTTAATTTAAGATACAGTCATGGGCAGGATTTGGTTGACAGGCTAAAAGGGAACAGGAGGAGCAGAGAGAAGCTAGGACAGCCCCGGGTGACCCTGCCTTGGGTAAATGGTGGATCTTCTGACTGAGTGCTTCTTTTCTACAAAAGTCTATCCGCTGAGGTGGTTGGTGTGGGGGGAGGAGCGGAATGGAGGTGGGCAGGGATGGGAGGCAAGACAGGCAGCCCTGAGGGACTAGACACTTCCTTAGAACAGCTGGGACACTTGTGACTGTGGCTCATTCTGTCTGATGCCACAGCAGCACACAGGGGCTGGACGGGAGTGTCTGGTCTCCGGCAGGTGCTGTGGGGACTCTAGGTCCTGAAGAGCTGGACCACAGGGTGCCTTCTGCCCTTCATGTTCTCCAGCATGGCAGGTGTAAGTCTGGTTTGGCTTTCTTTTTCTTCTCTGGGGCTCAGGGAACAAAAAGATCCCTCTAGAGTGTCAGGACTGGGTATGCGGGCAGGAAACACAGACCCTGGTAGCCTACGTTTGTAATATGGCCCCAGGTAAGCCTTTCCCTCCTTTGGGGCTTTTCTTTCTTTCTTTCTTTCTTTCTTTCTTTCTTTCTTTCTTTCTTTCTTTCTTTCTTTCCCGCTTTGCTTTTTTTTTCTAGAAATTTATTTGTTTTACGTATATTAGCACATTGTCACTGTCTTCAGACACACCAAAAGAGGGCATCATATCCCATTACAGATGGTTGTGAGCATGTGGTTGCTGGGAATTGAACTCAGGACCTCTGGAAGAGCAGTCAGTGCTCTTAACCACTGAGCCATCTCTCCAGCCCCAGGACTTATTTTCTTAAGGGCTGAGGGGTACTGGATGGATCTTTCACAGTTCTGGGGTCCGTGGTTTTGTGGCCTGAATGCTTACTTACATTCAGCTCAGTGACCCCTCAAGGAAAGGTAGGGTAGGGGTCTGTGGCTTCTGACTCATTTTCTCCATACCAGTACAGGCTTTGACCTGGGAGTCCCCAGAGATGGCAGAGGCCGAGAGTGGGAAGCTGTGAACTTAGCTCACAAAGAAGTGGTTGCACTTTAAAAGACTTTAAAGAGTCTGGCTCAGGATGGTGCAACCTAGTCAGGGGTAAGGGTGGGGGGTGGGAGATACCTGCCCCAAATAGGCCTGCAGCAGGTTGAAGGGGCAACTCTCTCAGGCTGGGGTCATAGATAGCCAGTTAAGGCCTAGATTCATGTCTCGGTGGCCTGTGGACAGTGGCCCTGGCCCAGCCTTCTGCAAGGCAGCTCACAGAAGGGGATGTGAGCTTGGGAACTAAAATCTTCCAGAGATTCAATATTTCCAAGTTGGCTGAGTGTGGAGGCCGTTTATGTATGTATGTCCTCTGTACTCTGCCCAACGTTTGAGTCTCTGTAGACAATAATGTATGCCAAGCGCCCCCTGCAGGACACGACCTGGAGATGTACACCAGGGCTTCTTTCGTGCTAGGCAATCACCCTACCTCTAAGCCATACCCTCAACCCCTTTCTTGATTTTAATTCCATCCGTGCTTCCCACATACTCATAATTTGAGGGGAGGCCTGGAGCACAGGAAGGAGTCAGGTTAAGTATGGGTGAGCCCTGGAGAGATTCGCTGACCTCTGACAGGCTCTGTGGATGGGTTTGGATGTGTATTCATGGAAGCTGGGGCTCCTTTCAATCACTGGGGCTTTAAGAGGATCTGAGGGAACACAGAAGACAGACCAGGGGGTGCCAGATCTTCCCCTATCCACCCAAGGGTGGAGGGTCGATGAACACAAGGCCCCCGAAGGGAGACAGATGTCCTCTGCTCTCTTCCAGGATTTGTGCCCCACTGCCTGTAGTCAGCCACACATTAGGGACCCAGGAGGGCTGCAGCAGGAAGCCTAGGTATGGCTTGCTGCAGGAACTTCTGTGAGCTTCTTCCTCTGTCCTCTGGTTGCCCACACTTGGCTGTTCAGACATGCTCAGAACCCACTAGTGGGGGACATGGGTGTCAAGTTAGTCAGGGGTTACCTGGACTGTCTTAGCAAGGCCTAGGCACAAGGTTAGCTGCTTCCCAGAATTCCCAGAGATGCCCTTTAAGAGATCACTCATGGCTGGGGGGGGGGGGGGGAGGTGTGCAGGAGACCCTGAGCGAGGCAGCTGGTGTTCTGCAACTGTCTGTCTGTCTGTCTGTCTGTCTGTCTGTCTTCCTGAACCTCGTTTCCTCATTCAGCTAAAGTCATAATGTCCTAAGGGCATGTGCACCGGCAGGCATTCCACGAGAGAATCTGGGGTCTGCCGTCATCATGGAGGCTCAGTGGGGTCCTTCTTGTCCATCCACTGACTTGTGTCTTAGACTTCTGAGGGTTGACATGAAGCTCAGCAGCCCCTGCCCGGACAGCTGTGGTTCTGGGACCTCCATATGTAGGGCAGTGCTGTGTGCCAGCGTGAGGCTGGGCCCCGGTCTGTGAACCAGCATGAGGCTGGGCCCCCAGTCTGTGAGGCAGCGTGAGGCTGGGCCCCGGTCTGTGAGGCAGTGTGAGGCTGGGTCCCCAGTCTGTGAGCCAGCATGAGGCTGGGCCCCGGTCTGTGAACCAGTCTATGCTTGACCTTCAATAGGGACATGGAGGCCAGAGAGAAGCTGTTCTGAGCAGGGTTCCTGCTGTCCTTCCGGGGCTCTCACAGTGTCCTGTGTGTTTCAGTGCAGGGACTTCACGGCCCACACAGGGTATGAGGTACTACTGCAGAGGCTGCTGGATGGCAGGAAGATGTGCAAGGACGTGGAGGAGCTGCTCAGACAGAGGTAAGCAGGACCTGGCCGGTGGTCAGGACAAGCGGGGCAGATGACGCCCCCCTAGATCCCAGTTGCCGTCAGGATGGGTCTGTTTTCAAAAGCCAAGAGCCAAAGCCTAGAAGGTGGCTCAGTGGGTCAATCACTTGTTAAACAAACATGGGGACCTGAGTTCAAATCGCTTCTGTATCAAGAAGGGATGCAGTGTCAGGAGAATCCACAGAAGCTCATGGGCCGGCTACCATGGTGTAGGGTAAGCAGAGGAGACCCTGTCTCTGCAAAATATAGTCATGTATGAAATCTTAGAGTGGGGGGGGCGCGCGGGAAAGTTGACCTTTGACCTTCCACAGGTACATTGTGCACTCATGTACACTCAAGTGCACTTATGTACCTGCACACATGCTCTCTCGCTCTCTCTCTCTCTCTCACACACACACACACACACACACACACACACACACACACACACTCACATATACACGAAGCCAGGGCCCCTTGTTGTTTCCTGTGGCCCTTAGGCCTGGGCCTCCCCCAGGGGCATGTACCAAGCAGCAGCCCTTAGGACAGGCCCGTTTTCAACTGACATTTATCCCCAGAAGATGAAAATTTTCAGGAATGGTCCTGCTGGCAAAGTATGATGAGGGACCCTGGGTTCTGCACATATTTTGGGGCCACAGCCAGCCAACTGTGGTGAACGGGACACAGTGCTTGCTCTGTCCTTACAGGGCCCAGGCGGAGGAGAGGTACGGGAAGGAGCTGGTGCAGATTGCTCGCAAGGCCGGTGGCCAGACAGAGATGAAGTAAGAGTGCTGGTGGCTCCTACCTTTCTTCTAGGGAAGCTTCTGGACTTTACTCGGGGCCTTGGGACTTTCTGATGTGGTAGACTGGGCAGGAACTGGACAGGGGGTCTGGACCCTGCGTGGTGCCTGAGATCGGGGTCTTGTATTAGTGCTCTAGAAAGAGCAGGGTACGTGACACACTGGGTGCACCTTCACCCAATCAGGAGGGGCAGATGACAGGCGCCTGTCCATTGCAGGGGTCTGTGTGAGACATGCTCAGCGGGCTGTGAGTCACCTGTGGCTGACAGTGGAGTGGGAGATGCCACCAACAGACAGCACAGTGTGGGTATGAGCTGGGCAGCCTGTGAATGGGGGGACAGGCCACAGTCTCCTGCCCACTGTGGGCAGAAGAATGGCTGTGGGGCTTGAGGTTCTGGGTCATTCTTGCTTTTTTCTTATAGAAGGCTAGAGGGACAGTGTTTCCCTGCCTTGTTTTGTGTATGACCCCAGGCTAGTCACTGCCTGTCGGAATCCCAAGTCCCTGTCTTGTGAAAGGGGATAGCTTGATGCACTCAGAGTGCAGTGGGGTGTCTGTAGACTTGCCCATTCCACGCACCGGCCCCTCCACACAGCAGATAAACTCTATGTTGCTTACTTGGACAGAGGTGTGGCTGGGCTTCCCGAGCTGTTTCCTTCAGGCTGACAAGTACTGAGGCCATGGGGGGTGGGGGGAAGCCACACCGTGATCTGGGCGTCAGGCTCCTGGAGTAGTCTTCATGCAAAGGGGTACCCCAGAGACAAGCAAACCCTCAGGGGCAAGATAAAGTGACCATATTTCAGACCAAGGTTGGGGCAGGAGGGCAGAGATGTCTGGCGTCCCCTGAGGAGGAGGGGCATTCCTGTCTTGACCACTAGTAGACAAAGGCTCAAAGATATGACATCAGGCAGATTTAGAGCCCTTGTGCCTTACCCCTTCCCTCGGAGCTGTGCCGCCTGCAGGTCCTGCTGCTCCCTGCACAAGGGTACATCCAGGAGGTGATGTTGCTGTCCCATGTGGCACTGTTTCTTTAACTGTGGACCAAGCATCTGTCATCTGCCTATGCCCTCAGTGAGCATTCATGGAGTGTGTACTATGTATCATGGCCTGGACTGTCAAGGGCATTTGAGAACTCAAACCACTGGGATGACCACCTCCTTTAACACTTTGCAGCAGACCTTCCCCACAGGCACTTCCTCCAAGAGGGCCTCCAGGTTTGCCTCACTGTCAAGAGCTTGGTACAGACAGGGTCAACCTCTCCACTCCAACCTGGAAGGCTCTTGACCGTGTAGTTAGTCTTAGAGGTCTGGATCAGGTTCATTTTCTCTGGAAGTTAAGAAATTAAGAGGCACAGGCTGGAGAGATGGCTCAGAGGTTAAGAGCACTGGCTGCCTTTCCAGAGGCCCTGAGTTCAATTCCCAGCAACTCACAGTGGCTCACAACCATCTATGATGAGATCTGGTGCCCTCTTCTGGCATGCAGGCAGACACTATAAATAATAAATAAGTAAATATTTAAGAAAAAGAAAGAAAAGAATGAATGAATGAATGAATGAATGAATGAATGAATGAATCTGGAATGCAAGAGGTAGCAGCAAGCAAAACCTCAGGCATGGCAGACAGAATCAACTGCTATAGGAAGGCTTTTGCTAAGTACACGCAGCAAGGCCAACAGAGCAAAACCATGAAAAGCAGAGGACCAATAAATCCACCCTCTCACCAGACTGGGGGCCTTTGTGGGATCGGCTTAAACAAAGGGGTGGCTGATAGGACCACAACATGTCCTGATCCACCCTTGACTTGTTGGTGGTCTGCCAGCAGGGGTAGGGGGCACACTGGAAAGACAAAGCCGACCAGGCTATCATCTCGTTTAGGAGGAAGAGGCTGAAAGGTTGCCTCCTTGTCCCTCATCTGTGACCCCATCTGTGACCCCCCAATCTGTGACCCCCCCCATCTGTGACCCCTCTCCTTGTCTGCCTGTTAGAGATCCGTCAAACACCTAGTCCTTCGGCAGGGAATGTGAGTGGATCCACACTTGTTATAGTCACTTGGGGGTGGGAAGTGTTGGTTCTTAGGAAAGGGCCTGGCTGGTGGCCATCCTCCAACACCCAGTCCCCTGGGTTGAGGAGCTGTCCCCTCTGTCTGTAAGGCAGGGTAGCAGAGCTGAGTAAACAGTGAGATGAAGGCCTGGGGGTGAAGTCACTTCACGACTAGCCCACACCAAGAGCGCTCTACTGGCTGCTTCCTCCTGTGCAGCCCCAAACCCCAGCATTCCGGCCTCATGTCTTGGCCTCACGCTAGGGTCTCACAGGACCAGAAGTCAGGCCACATGAACGATGGGAAGTTTTAGTCACATCTTAGAATGTGTTTTCTCACATCTCACTCTTGTTACCCTTGTGAACCTGCCTGAGGCCCTGTTGACTTTTGACGAATTGTAAGGACAGGCTAGGTATTGCAGAAGGTGTCGTGATACTGCACACACCATGACCAGCCTTCCTGTCGTCCTTTGTGTCTGCCCAAACCCTCACCTTGCTCAAGAAGTGGTTACCTCCTCCCCACTTCTTGCCGTCCTAGGAAGGATACCGTGGGTGCCTCGGAGGACGGAGTGGACCTAGGCCAATGTCCTGTGAACCCCTCTGTGGTTACAGATGAACAATAGCCTTCATCCCTCCCAAACCTAAGTGCTGAGATGTCCCATCAGAGATTTCTTGTGTTTTTTGATCTCTTCTCCACTGAGATCAGGGTGAAGACATCACTGTAGACAGTCTCCAATCCAGTATCAGCTGCCTGTAGGTTCAAGGTCTGCTTCCAATTGGGAGATACCATCTTCCTGGCTGCCAGGTGGCTAAGGTTTGGGGTGGGGCCCTAGTATGCTGCTTGCTATCCCAGCGAGGAGCAGTTATACTGTTAAACTAGACTCCAGAGTTTCCAGGTCTCCCGAGGGCCAAGCCACAGGCCAGCAGGATGTGTTGCATGTGTGCACATTGGTGATAGAGGCCGAAAGTCAGAATCATACTAACCCAGGCTTGCCATAGCCGATAGCCCCTGCCTTCCTCTGCAAGGCTAGCCTTGACATTTTATCTTTCAGGATTTGAAAGGATGTGTTTGTATGTCTGCTGTGCAAGTGTGTGCAGATGCCCGTGGAGGCCAGTGGTGATGGCTAAGACTGGGGTCACAAGGCTGTGAGCCATCTGATGCGGGCACTAGTAACCAAACTTGGCTTCTCTGCAAGAACAGAATGTGCTCTTAACACCTGAGCCATTGCTCTGTCCAGCCCTTGGCCTTGAGGTTTTGCCACTTACCACTTGCACGGTTGTGGAGTGTGTTTTTGGTCTCTGTGACTCAGTTTCCTTATCTGTAAATGACAGTAATCAATACGTTGGCTTGTGGGATGGAGGCGGGAATCGCTCAAGCTAGCCATTCTCATCCTGACTGTGTCAGCACTGGAAGGTTAGGACTATGTGGTCAGTGGTTGGTCACTGGCAGAGGCCTGCACATCTGCACATCTGATGACTCCCAGGTTGTTACTACTGCTCCGTGGTCGTGTCAGGAAAGCCTGGCAGTAACTAGGACCCCACATTCCTCCTTAGGGCCTGGATCCCTAGGGGTCCTCCTTGGCCTCAGTGTCTTCAGTTGTTCAAGGAGAAGAGGAAGCCCCCATGAAGCATATTTGTCCTACCCAGGAACCACAGACAGGTGCTTCCCTGAAAGGACACCCAGGGACTTGGTTATGTGATGGGTGCCATACAGCTATTTTACCACCAGGGGGCGGGAGAGTGCCCAGCAGAGAGGCTGTGAAAGCTTGCGGACAAGGGGCTACTTGGCTGCTGACTCTGACCTTGGGACAGACTGTGCCACCATGCATTTGCTTTTGTGTCCTTAAGAGACTTAGTACCCCTAAGCCCAAGCTGGGGGCACAGAGGCACACCTCCCTCACGTACATGGCCTGATGATGTCACTCAGCTGCAGGAGGGGCTCTGGGAAGGGACTCAAGCCTGGGTAGCCTACCTGAAGTTAAGGTTGCTGCTTCTGGGAAAGGACCACTGGAGAACTCTTATAAGGGGCTGCTGGGGTTGGAGGAAGACCCAGGTAGGCTGCTGCTGGTGCCTGGAGGATGTCCTGGGGGACTGGCAGAGTTTGCATATGTGTGAGCGTGACCGGCATGTAAAGCTCCTGCCTCAGTGGTGCCTTACCATGGACCGTCCTTCTCAAAATCATTTTGTGCTGCTGATTGCTCTCTGTAGAATGGAAGTCAAGGCAGAGGGCCAGGTAGCTTGCCTAGGGTACCACGGTGAATAAGTGACAGAGCCTGGCCATCTGGCTACAGGGTCTGCTGCTGTTGAGTGTGGAGGCCGGAGTAAAAGGCCACCGCTGATTTCCTAGGTTGTTTCCCACACCATCTTCCCCTTCCTCTGAATGGAGCTCATGCCTCTCGAGGGCCTGCTCCTGAGAGCTCCAACCCTTCCTCAGAGTTCCTGTATCTGCCCCGGGACTCCTATCCCCACCGATAAACAGCAGTGTGTCCTGGGCGTGCTGGCACCTCTGCTTGGCCCTCCAGTACTGCCATGTTTTGCGGTGAACAAGGCCGCCAGGCAGAATCCAGGGCACCCAGTCTGCTGCTTCCCAATACACAACGAGCAAGGACTTTCTAGTCCAGCGCCATTATTTGGGGCATGCTTGCACTCAGAAAGCAATTTCAAAAGACGATTGAAGTAAACTGAGCCCAGTGGAGGTGTCTTTGGAAAGGTGGCAGGAGCACTTGAGACAGAGTCATCCCGTGTAATTCATGGCCTTGAACTTGTGGCCTGTCTGCCTCTGCTGCCTGAGTGCTGGGATTCCAGGCTGTGTTGTCACCACCACTTGCCCAGGGCCTTCCAGTTTACCTGGCACCCTCTGCTGCTTGAGCACTGTTCGAACTCCCGTGCCTTGTGCAGCCTCTTCCTTTCCCTCCCCCTTGGGACCCTGCCTGGACCAGGTGCCATAGCTGTCCCTGCCTGGGACCCTGCCCACCTCCCAACATTTCTGTATGCCTTCCAGGCCACCTGCTGGAAAGAGCTGGAAAGGCCTTCCCCTGCATCAGACTCATCCAGGCAGCACTGAGTAACTAGTTGCCTGCATCTGAACCAGCCGAGGTCTCAGAGAGGCAAGGAGCTTCCTGTGGACACGCCCCTCTTCTCTAGGCTGCAGCCTGGGGAGTGAGGGAGTGGAAGGCAGAACTGCCATAGCAAGGTTTTCCCACCACAGCAAGGTTCCATTGCCTTGCAATTTACAAAGGAAACTGTTTTCTAGAATGCCAGCTTGGGGTTCACATGAACGATGCCCATGGCCAAAGGGTCCCTTGCATCCATAGTAGTGAGTATGGCTTAGGGCCCTCCCTCCAAAATAAAGTACCATGGGGCAGGAAGGACGTCCAGCTCCTGCAGCATGCCTGCTTGCTGACCTAGACTTCTGTTTTGCAGTTCCCTGAGGACCTCCTTTGACTCCCTGAAGCAGCGTAAGTTCCAACCATCCCCATATGGGCAGCAGGGCCATTAGGGTCTCCTGGAAGACCCTCAGCCTGTGTAGGGGTGACTGAGTCAGGAGGTATGTGCTTGGGCTGTGGTCCAGCTCTGTACCAGGCTGAAAGGCTGATGGAGGATGTGAGGGCTGGGAGGTAAAGTGAGAGTGATAGACTGGTCCAGGCAGAGGCCGCGCTGTCACCCTAGAAACAGAGAATGTGGGCAGTGCACACATCCAGCTGGCCCTGGCCCTGCGTGAGGAGCTTCGGAGCCTGGAGGAGTTCCGAGAGAGGCAGAAAGAACAGCGGAAGAAGGTGAGGGGGGCGAGAGGGCAAAGGAGGGGAGGTGGGGGACCCTCCAGAGGCCACCCACTGTTCTGGGGACCAGTTGGAAAGCTTGGTTTGATGAAAGGGAGAGTGAATGTGTGCACTAGCTTGCTGTGATAAACCACTGACTTGGGAAGAAAGGTTTATCTGACATACACTTCTCAGGTCCCAGTGTAGTTACAGCAGGAACCTAGAGGCAGGAACTGAAACAGCAACAAGGAATGCTTACTTTGCTTCCGGCTCGTGTTCAGCCACATAGCCCAGGCCTACCTGCTTTAGGGGATAGTACCACCCACAGTGGGGCTGGGCCCTCCTACATTAATTAACAATCAAGAAAAATGTCCACAGACATGCCCACGGGCCAGTCAATGTAAGCAATTCCTCAGTTGAGGGTCTCTCTTCCCAGGTGTGTCTAGTTGGCAACGGAAGCCTACCATGATAATGTGGTATGGAAAGGCTCTGGACCAGAGTGCTCCCTGGAGGTCTACCATAGAGCTGCTACATGCCAGGAAAAGATTTGGGGCTTCTGGACTAGCCTTCATCATAGACTGTAGAGGGACAGCATCGAGAGTCCAGGGGAGCCAACCTGAGTTGAGTGTCCCCTGGAAGCTGGCTCTGAACACAAGGATTAGGCCCTGGAGACAGGCAGACTTGGGGGCCAGTACTCTGCATGGCTGTTCAACAGGGAGTGGGGAGACAGTTTTGAGGGGGGAGTGCGGGCCTCAGACTCAGCTAAGCATCTGAAGGCATGCTCAACAATATTCATAGCATGGCTGGCCACACGTGGAATGGCTACATACATATTGCTTTGGGAACTTGGCCCTTCACAAACAGGGCCTTAAGGCAGTACTTAGTGTACTGTGTAGCTGTATACCCTGGCTACCCATCTGGACAGCTTCAGGCTTACAGGAATCTAAACTGCCTTCCTGAACAGATGAGCCCCCAAAGCTATCCCCCGAAACTATCTGGACTTGAAGTGTTCGAACAGGTGACCCTCTGATCCGAGGCTTGCATGTGGAAACCCTGCAGGTGTCAGGGGACATGGGCTAGACTCTGAGCTCTGTGGTCAGGACAGCTCCTCCCCGAGAGTAGCCACACTCTGCCATCAGAGCTGTGACGTGTTAAGCCACGAGGAGAGGGACACACGGTATCCTCAGCTACCCAGATGCCTCTGTAATCAGGTGGCTTGCCAGAGCCTCCCCAGGACACCAAGGCAAACTGGTTCCAATCCTAAAGCCACAGGCGTTTACCCCCCATTCTCCCATCAGCCTCCATCCTGGCTGTTCTACTCCATCCATCCAACAGGAAGCCCAGGGGTAAAGGTTGTGCTGAGCCTGTGGTGTGGCGTTGAGTATGTATGCATACGTGATGTCTGGCCTACGGTCATGAGCGAGTGAATACTGGAGTGTGTGGTGTATGCACGAGTGGTCTGTGGGTGTGCAGTATGAGCAGTTGGGAGATGGGGGTTGAGTATGGACTAGGTGTGCGTGTATATGCTAGTGCACACTCAGTGTGGCTTGTGAATAAAAGACTCGGGACTCATGTGATGTGTGTGTGTGTGGGTGGGGGTTCTCCGGCTGGAGATCAAGTCAAGCTGAGGTCCACAGTAAAGAAACACTAGACATACCCACTGCCCAAGCTTCTCTTTGTTGTTCTGTTCTGAGTGTCAGGACTGCGGTTTTGTTTGTCTGTCTGTTTAAGGTCTCACTAGATAGCCTGGGCTGGCATGGAGCTTGCTAAGTGGGCCAGGCTGGTCTCACACTCATAGAGATCCTCCTGCCTCAGCTTCCCAAGTGCTAGGATTAAATACCTGGCTGGTATTGTTTTGAAGGAGGTATCTCTAGGAGAGGGTGGACACAGACACACATACAGATATGGATGTGAGCTTGGAGGGGTGTTATGTCCCAGGGACAAGAACAACCCATCCTCTTGGCCTAGGGGAGCGTCTTGAGGCCAGCGCCCCCAGCTCAGAGCCTCATGTCTCCTGCAGTATGAGGCCGTCATGGACCGTGTCCAGAAGAGCAAGCTGTCACTCTACAAGAAGACCATGGAGGTAAATGGGAGGGCCTTGGACACCCCTCTGAGAGTCCTGGGTTGGACATCTGGGACAGGCTTGCCTCAGACCTTGGTCTGTTATGTGTATCGGCCTGTTGGGGGCTGTACTGGATGCCCAGGACCTGTTTATCATCACAAGCCCTTCAGAGCCTTGCCTAAAGAACAGAGGGACAGTCGCATACACAGGAGTCCATGAGTGATCCACAGTCACCTGAGGAGGCCAGAGTAGCAGGGATAAGGGACACATGAGAGGGCAGAGGAGTGTAGAAGACAGGACCCAAAGTCTCCATAGCAACATGCCCCAGCCTCTGCATCTCTGTCCCTGGGAGTGATGCCTGTTCTACCAAAGTCCCCCCACCCCACCGCACGCCTCGGGAGGGAGTCTGGGCTTAGGGAGCCTCCCCTGGGGCATTCTGCCCTGCAGACACACCTCTTCACACCTTCAGTCCAAGAAGGCATACGACCAGAAGTGCAGGGACGCAGACGACGCCGACCAGGCCTTCGAGCGTGTGAGCGCCAATGGCCACCAGAAGCAAGTGGAAAAGGTGTGTATGGTGTGGCGGTGGGAGTGGGGTACGGGTAGGCAGGGAAGGGCTGTCATCCCCGGGATGAATTTACATCTGAGCCCATGCTGGTTGCTCACTTCTCTGCAGTTCTCAATGTCCGCTCTATGCCACGGGCATCTTCAAGTAGCATTCTTCAGCACAGGTCCTCTGCAGGACAGGCAACCTCTGGACAGGATAGGGGTGACTGAGCCACCAGGGCCCTTAAACCTAACACTTGTTGCACAGACCAGAGGGCTGAGCGTGAGAGGGCAGAGGGTTGTGGGTGAGTTGGATCCAGGCTGACCAGAGTCCAGGTTCTGGGCAGTGATGCAGCAGAGGCCACACGGTATCTGCGTTTTTCCTGTTTCCTGGTGGGCTGCAGGTTTCTGCTTTTATTTCCCTTTTGTGGAACCAGCCTGAGCAAGCAAGGCTGCTGGTGAATGATAGAATTCACCTGCCCATACTTTGATCCTGGATGGGGACCAGTCACTTCTGAGTAGCTCCGAGGCTAAGATTCCTGGGCTCAGACTCAGTGCTACTCTCCTGTCTCCTCAGAGCCAGAACAAAGCCAAGCAGTGCAAGGAGTCAGCCGCAGAGGCAGGTATGTGGCCCTGGCCACCTCCCCAGACTGTCTGGTAGCCCAGCCAGTTCCCTTCTTCCAGCTGGTGCTCTCCCACCTGCCAGCATTGGCCCCCATGTGCCTCTCCGGGCGTGCTCTCCAGAGTAGAGACCATTCCTCCTTAGCCACTGCACGCAGCCATAGCATAAGGAAATGGGGGCACAAAGTGGGTAAAGAAGCTGCCCAGTGTCACACTCAGTGGTGCTAAGTGGTGCTGACAGCATTTGTACCCAAGCCACTGGGTTTCAGAGGCTCAGATCCACAGGGTCACATCCCTTCATCTCACCCAAAATGACAAATGCTCACACTCAGCCTGGCTCCCGTCCTCCTCCTGATACCAGCATCTGCTCATCGTCCTCCCATCCCAGGGATGGCATCCTCCTTCCTTCCGTTCCAACATCTGTTCCTTCCTCAGCGGGTGCCAGATGACCCATTCATAACTTCAGCTTGCTAGCTTGTAGCCACAACAGCTTACAGAGGTACCCTCCTTGAGCCTCAGTTTACCACCTGTAAAGTTACCAGAACATGGAATAGGACTTCTGCCTGGAGAGTTCTGCTCCCACCCCTGGAGTTCGGAGCATATAGTGGGGAAGAGGAAAGGGTGGTACAGTGGCTGTGTGGCTGTGTGCGGTGACCAACAGCTAGCCAGGCCCCTGGGGAGGGGGCTCCCAGGACTTTGGGGAGGTTGGGTTGGGGGGTCGGGGTCTCTGCAGGAGTGAAGGTCAGAGGATCTCCTGTCGTGGGAACTGTCGGAGGAGATCTGGGCTACCAGGCCTGCTGAAGGCTCCTCTCTGTTTGCAGAACGAGTGTACAAGCAAAATGTCGAACAACTGGAGAGAGCGAGGGTCGAGTGGGAGCAGGAACACCGGACCACCTGTGAGGCAAGTGGCCAAGGCGAGCAGCCTGCTCCCCCATACGCACCCCTCCCCTTACCTGTGGGACGCCGGGGCTGGGGGACGGCACACTCCTTCATTCCACTGGGTACCTGCGTGGCTGGTGCCTACGGCCTCTCCCCATACTCACTATCTGGCCTTATGTCCTGGATCTGTTTGTTCAACCCTAGGCCCAACTGATGGGCAAAAGACCAGGGCAGAGTCCTGTGCTTTTCACTAGCCTCCCCCAGTCTCCATTCTAGGACGGGGGCTCGATGGAGATGCCAACAGGCATTCCTTACAGTCCAGCTCCCTCCAGCTGCCCCAGCTAGAGGCAGCAATGGGAACCTTCAGGGCTGCCTTTGCTTAGACATGGCTGCAGCAGTGTTCTGCACTGGTCACCTAGCTGAACCGTGGGGGGCTGCCTGGCCTGGCCCCATAATACTCTCCCTTTTCTCCTCAATAGGCCTTCCAGTTGCAGGAGTTTGACCGGCTAACCATCCTCCGCAATGCCCTGTGGGTACACTGCAACCAACTTTCCATGCAGTGTGTCAAGGATGATGAGGTGTGTGCCCTGAGAGGGCAGCATGTGAGCTCAGGTCACACACGGGGCCAGCCAGCACATCCCCAGACCTCTGCAGGTCACACACAGGGCCAGCCAGCACATCCCCAGACCTCTGCAGGTCACACACGGGGCCAGCCAGCACATCCCCAGACCTCTGCAGGTCACACACGGGGCCAGCCAGCACATCCCCAGACCTCTGCAGGTCACACAGAGGAGTCCAACATGGCCTCTGGCCCAGCCTCCAAGCACGGGAACACCATGCTTCTGAGGTTCCCTGCCTCTGCTTTTTCCTCCTCCCTCCTCCTTCAGGACTGTGTCCATCTACTCTCCCCAGCACAGCAGAGACTTGTTGGGGGTGGAGGGGCTCTGTTTCAGGCTCATGCTGGTGGGAGACTGGTCTAGGTTCTCTTACACCCCTCCCTCACCACCCCCCAGAGATGCCCAGGGTATCCCCCCCCTCACCTTACAGAGCCTAATATTCAGGGATGGCCAGGGTATATCCTACCCCAGGTTATGGGGATTACTGTAACCTGCACCAGTAGCCCTGGCTCCTGAGCGCTTTCAGGGCTGAGTGTTCCTTCCCACAGGCTAGCTCATCCTTATGGCTTCCTCATCAGCAGAAAGTGTGGGCTCTAGATACTCTCACACCCAGAGCCCAGTTTCCCCCAGTGACCTGACCTTAGCACAGCACTTTCCTGAATTTCCTCGTCTTAAAGCAGGTTAAAGTGTGGGCCTCAGAGGACAGGAGTGAGCTGGGGCCTCTCCTCGGGGACCCCGAGCTCAGGTGTTCAGTAAACAGGCATCAGCCAGGTCTCAGTCCCTCTGGCCAGCACCGAGCCCGAAGGCTCAGAGTCAGTGGCGGTAGGACTACAGCAAGGCTGGGGACCAGGCAGACACTGGGGTGAAGCCTGAACTCAGTCTTGCCCCATCCCTACCCCCAGCTCTATGAGGAAGTCCGGCTGACACTTGAGGGCTGTGATGTGGAAGGTGACATCAATGGCTTTATCCAGTCTAAGAGCACTGGCAGAGAGCCCCCAGGTAAGGCCCTGCCTGAGGGCAGCTTAGCGTCCACAGCCGGGTCTGGCTGGCTCTACACCAGGCTGGGGTGGTTCACACTTTCCTATTGGATGGAGGTAGACCAGACTCAGACTGGGGGACAGGGTAGTTCTACTCTTCCGGGGGACCCATTCAGTTCCCAGCGTCCACACCAGGTACCTCACAAGTGTCTAACTTCAGAGAACCTGACACCTCTAGCTTCCTACATGAATACACACAATGAAAATTAATAAAAATCGTTTAAAAAGAAAAGCCAGGCTCAGTGTTACACACCTTTAATCCCGGCACCTTGGAGGCAGAGGCCAGCAGCCCTCTGAATGAGGTCCTCCGGCTCTGGGCCTCATGCGTTTGCTCTCTACAGCTCCAGTGCCTTATCAGAACTACTATGACCGGGAGGTCACCCCACTGACTGGCAGCCCTAGCGTCCAGCCCTCCTGCGGTGTGATAAAGAGGTGAGGTACCGATAAACTGTGCATGGCCAGAATCCAGCTGCTGGGGCCAGCCTGACTTCCACATGTCATGGCTCACAGCAACGTGGGTCTGGTGCCCTGTGCAGGCGCTGGCCATCCCATTGAGATATTCCAGGATCAAACTACCATCAGGAAGCCCTGGATCTAAGAGGATCTAAGTACTAACTACTCACACTCCTGTTATTCACCAGTGACTATGCGGAGAGTCCTGGGCAAGCGCCCACTCTGGCTTGCTTGACTGTTTGGCCCTACGGTGAGGCAGTACTGCCTTAACTGTGAGGTAGCTTGGGTGAAACTCTCCAGGTAGCTTATAAATGGCCCAGACATTTGGATTCACCAGGCTTTTACGGGGCCACCTCCCTGGCTTGACTGTAGTCAGATGCTAAAAGGCCCCAGTTCAGTGCCCAGTGGGTAACCTGGCCTAGTCACTGTGGGATCAAGGAAAGGAAGACTTGCTTGGCCCAAACTGGCTGGTCCTGGCAAGATATGTGGGGGCTGAACTTTAAAGGAAGCTTCCTCCTCCCCACAGAGTCTGGGGGAGGGGGCATCTAGGGGAGGATGGGGCCCCGCTGGCTACAGGTGCTGATGACCAGGAGAGTGACCACAGGAGGAGGATGCTGAGACCCAAGGGACTACTATCAGGAATGGCCTCTGGGGAGGCCTGCTGCCATGGAGGCCTGTGGTGGCAGCAGGCTGGCAGAAGTCCCGAAGCGCTGAGAATTCCCAATTAGTCCCTTTGCTTCCAGTGAGGTAAGGCAAGGCCTACCCTTCTCTCCTCCCTTCCTCCAGGTTCTCTGGGCTGCTACATGGAAGTCCCAAGACCACACCTTCTCAAGCTCCTGCTGGTAAATGAGGGGGAAGGGATATGGGACAGGGGGCGTATCTTCCACCCGTGGGGAGGGAGGACTCCTGCATAGTATAGTATAGGTGGAACACTAATGTCCCAGGGGGAAAGGTATTCTGTCCAAGAGTGTGGACAATGGTAGGATTAAGCCCCAACCCAGCAGTCTCCAGGGACCACTGTCCTCAGAAAGGAGCAGGATCCGGGCCTCATCCTGCTCTCAGCTTCCACAGAGACTCTGGCTCCCACCCCTGAGCGGAACGAGTTGGTCTACGCATCCATTGAAGTGCAGGCACCACAGGGGAATCTTAACTCATCAACCCAGGACTACCGGGCGCTCTACAACTACACCGCACAGGTGAGGGCATCCCCCGTGCCTGGGAACACGCCTGGGGTGTAAGCACTTACGTAGCACCAGAGATCGGAATAGTTCAGTGAACATCTGCTGGACCAGGATCTGCTGTGGGTAATGAGGTTGAGGGTCAGGCCTTGTTCTCTAGCTGTGGACCCAGAGAAGCAGTGACATCTTCGGAGAAAGGTGATCAGGGCAGCCACAGAGCATCCCGTGCTAGAGATGGATTGGAATCCAACGCAAGCCTGGGGCTGAAGTGGGGGTGGGGTAGGGGTAGACCTGAAGGCAGGCCCTGAACTTAGGCCAATATGCCCACACATATAGGCAGGCTGGATGTGGCTGCACCGAGGTCACATTCAGGGGTACAGACCTGGACAATAGTGGGGTACTCGGGTAGCAGTAGATGGCTGCGTGACTCATCTAGAACTTGCCCTTGGTGTGACAAGCACCTTTGAGAAGCTGCACTTGGAGCAGTGAGAGAAGCCCAGGATAGGAGGTCTCCATGGCAACCTGAGCATGTTAGGAGGCCAAGTCCCTTGGGGGAACCCCATAGCCTGTCTATCTCTAAAGGAATTACCCTGGAGGCCTCAGTATGACTCAGCAGACTGCTCGCCCAGGGAGACAAACATGCACGAATGTACTGCCAAAGCTGGGGCTGCCAGCGCAGAGCACCCCGGTCCCGACGGCTCCTCCCAACTCACACACTTGCCGTTTCTTGCCCAGAATTCTGATGAGCTGGACATTTCTGCGGGAGACATTCTGGCGGTCATCCTGGAAGGAGAGGATGGCTGGTGGACTGTGGAGAGAAACGGACAGCGTGGCTTTGTCCCTGGGTCGTACTTGGAGAAGCTCTGAGGAAGGACCAGCAGTCAACACATACCTTTGCCCTAACTGTGAGGTCAGGACCGTTCCCATCACTGCCCAAGCCTCACGGGGCCAGGACCAAGCTTGGCTGCGCTGGGTATAGACTGGGTACTGGCTACTCTCAATGAATTTCTCCCAGAAGGAATAAAGGGGCACATTCTCCCTTTGCTGGGGTCCTTTTCTCTTACTCAGTGTCCAAGGCCTCAATTCAGAAAGCCACAAAGTATAGGGAGTCTGGGGGAACAGAGCTCTGCCACTTATAAACAAGCCCTCAGTGGCAGTCAGGCCCAGTCTCAGCTAGGGACAGAGGAAAAGCCTCGCTGGACCCAAGTGCCTGAAGCTCCCAGGCTACCAGAGCTACATTCATACTTGGGACAGCCAGGAAGATGCAAGCAAGAGGGAGGAGCTCAGGAGAGCCATGGAATGAGACAGGGTATCCCGTGGCAGGGACGTGGGGTGTAGAAGGATGTGGAGAGGCAACAGCAGCCACAAGAAAGCAAACATCTGAACATGGGAGGACTCGGGGATAAGAACACTGTTGGAGATAAGAAATAGCTGGTGACTCTTGAGGGCAGCCACTAGGGTACAGGTTCATGGTGCACAGCCCTCAGCGTTTCTCCTTGACACGACCCAGTCATGTGTGTGCTGATTCTGCATCACAGGAACCCGTTGTGGGCCTGTGGCTTACCTGCCTGCCCACCTGGACACCAGCATAAAGGCCTATGCTGTACCCAGGCAAATGTCAGCTGTCAGAGGTAAATCTGTGAGCAGTCACGGTCTAAAGAGAAGGGGAAGAGGGGGTTGCTGAAAGGGCTCCTCCATGTTCATCACCAACGCGTCTTCATTCTCTGATCCTCCTCACTGGAGCAGAAAGGCGGGCTTGGTCAAGCAGCCATGCATGTCAACAAGGCTAGGCTGTCTTTGGGTTATGCTTTCTCATCCGTCACATGAGGGGACTTTTCAGGCTGGGTCCAGGCAGGTAAAGGTCCAGGAAGCAGATCCCTGGAACCAAGGCTCTGGAGCTGAGGGGCGGGCTAGCTGTTCTGACGAGACTGCCATCACTGCTTCTTGGCAGAGTATGTGACAGACAGACTGGGAAAAGGCTTTGAGTGACTGGAAAGAACCAGACTGACGTTGACATCCTTCTGGAAATGTCATTGTCCTCATGAACATCCTGTGAGGTGACCAAACACCACACCCATCTGTGACACATCAGATAATCCACACAGGGATATTTGGAGAGTGACTTAATCCAGGGCTTGGTCCCCTCCCTTGAAGGACAGCAAAGCTAGCAAATAAAAGACTTGGCTACAACAAACCTGCTCGGGCAAGAAAACCAAGGTGCCCTGGCCACCCTTGTCCTACCCCTGCCAGGCCCAACGAGACTCCCGCACCTCACTCAACCCAGACATTCTGATGATTCCTGGGCAGTCACGGGGTTGGTGCTTGCCAAGGTGCCCTGACCTCACTCTTTGAGGGTGGCCCATGGCCAGTGAGGGAGGTTCCTAATACAGGCTGAAGGCTGGTCTGCAAAGCAGCAGCTGGACTAGAGAACGCTGGTGGACAGAGAAATGAGTGGGAACAGTAGTGTCTGGGGTGTGCAAAAGGGTGGGAGAGCAGAGGGGAGAGGGTGTGAACTCTGACCTAGGCCTTTCCAGGCGGGCAGGCCTTCCCTAGGTGAAGCAGGGGGAGCCTGGGGCAGGCAGAGGAAACAAGCAGATTTCTGGGTTAGTGAAGAGGAAAGAGTGGAAAGCTCTATATCAGAGTTTGTTGTTTTTTTTTTTTTTACTCTTTGAAAAATACCTTGTCATCTTGATTGATCATCCCATTCCACTGAAAAAGATTTTTAAAAACCTTTGGCCTAGATATTTATCATATCTCTGACAGGTACTGCAGTGTCAGTAGGCCCCAGTGGATGATGGGTAAGCAGTGAGCGATAACAGCCGGCTCTCCAGGCACCCAGAGAAAGGAACAGAGACCCTGGGATCACAATCTATACCGGGGAATGGGGGGATGGGGGGTGGGGAATAAGCCCACGTAAGATTCCTGCATCTGCAGTGTTCCTGTTCTGTGTATCAGGTCACAGTGTCAGTGGCCGGGAACCAACTGCACAGGGGGACAATGTCAGATGGAGGAAGGGCTGGTACAACTGTGTATATAAATAACTCTGAGCTGCCCAAGACAGGGAGCAGCAAAGGGAAGAATGCAGCCTCTCATGTCAGAGCATCAGGCTGTGAAGCAGCTCACCCTCAGGCAGTCTCAGGCAAGCTTCAATTATCTCTGAAAATCCATCACCAGCAGGGTGGGTTCAGCAGGTCTTGTGCAAGGCACTACTTCAAAGTGTGACTGGTCAAATACTAATTAGAAACAAAGGGATGTCACTTTTTATAGCCAGGCCTCTGGCCTCTGGATCTCGGCTGTGGGAAGCAACAGCTCATTCAGCAAGCTTCCCAGTGGGGACCAGACTTCAGCAGCACCGGTGCCCAGCAGCTCTTAACCACTTTCCCCTAGCTGCTCCTGGGCCAAGCCAGCTTAGCACGACCTACTCCATGGTCTAGCTACTTCTCACTGTGGCTCCTAAAAGGTCACCACGTACAAGGAGATTCAATGGCTTCAGGAGCCTCAGGCTGTAAAGAACACAGGAATAGGGCTTTTCCAACCCTGCTCAGCAGAGCTCAACACAGGACAAGGGAGAAAGCTCAGCCCACTTCTAGCTGCATTCAATGTTTACCCACTGGACCAACAGGCTCCTCAGGGAGCCGCCGAGCAGTGATCTGTGCATTGCAGCCTATATTCCCAATGTTTTCCTGGTGATTCTGACGTGAGGTCAAGAACCTCCTGGTTAACGGGCCTTTGGCTAGACTTCTATCTCAAAATTTGAAAACATACTCTATGGTACCCCTCTACTTGCCTCAGACCAGGAGTGTCCGTCCACCAGGTGTCAAGTCCTTAGGATGCCTCTCCTGTGTTCTAATAACCGTGTTTGTCCTTCCTGGATACACTCAGAGCCTAGCGTGGTCTGCATGAGTCATCTTCCCCTCCAAAAGTTACTGGTTAAACTTGGTGGTCCCTCTGGAGCAACCTTAGGAGACCCCAAAGAAACTACAAGAGATAGCCATGGAGGACACACAACTGTTTTGAAGATTGGCAAAGATGCTGGATACAGGGTCAACATTCAAAAAACAGGTGCCCCTCCCCGCCCCCAGCAACCACTAGGAAAGGTATTAGCAAACCATGGAGGTCTCACAGAAAAGTTGCCTACACACTGTTAAGAGCTGTAGAAAACAAAAGAAACCTTATCAAACAAGGTAAAGGATTATGCCGGAAGTTCAGGAGACACGTTTTAAAAGAGCCTAGGACTGGCTAAGATATATTTTCACCTACCAGAATAGAAGAAAGATATAGGCAGGCAACACCCTGAGGGTCAACAAGGGTGTGGAGGAAATGCACACTTATATGCCTAGCCAGTGGTAACATAAACTAGTATAATCTTTTCTGGAAGGCAATGGAACACATCTGTGAAAACGAAATGTGACCTTTTCGGGGGCAGAATAAATTACTACAATCCTTAATATTGAAAGTTAGGCTTGTGGTGGCCAATACAGCACTGATGTGGTGTGTTTAAACTGGTTCATTTTATGCCGTGTGAGGTCGCTTCAGAAGGCCTGCCAGCTGTCAACATGGCACCGGTTTCTACCAACAACACTGGCCACATACAAGATGACAAGGGAGCTGGAAAATTCCCATCACTGGTGACGTAACAGCAGTCCTCCCACTGAGGCACAATGTCCCACCCTCCTGTCTGTGGTGATGCCAGTCTCTGGCTGCCAATCCAACAGGGCATAGCTGTGCACAGAATACAAACTCGAGGTGGAAGCACTGGACACGCCGGCTCAGGGATTGTTTACTTTGTACTCACATATACTGCTGTGCATGGTACTGCTGACTACACCACCATGCTAGCGGTGCCCTACACCAAGACAGCTTTACCAACAACAACAAAGATGAGTTCTATGTTTCCTTGTGTGTGTGAGAGGGAGACAGGGTGGGCCAGAGGACCTTGAGTCCCAGAAGCTGACATTACAGCCATGCCTGATTTGGCTGCTGGGAACTGAGTAAGAGCCTATAAAAGCCACTCGTCAAACTCTTAGCCACAGAGCCATCTCTCCAGCTCTTCCATCTTACTTTTTGAGACAGAGTCTCACAAAGTTCCATAAACTGGCCTTCATCTCACTCTGCAGTCTAGATAGGCTCTGAACCTGCAATCCTCCTGCCCCAGAGTCCAAAGCAGCTGACCACAGGACTGTATTACCAGGTCTCATCGACGATTACCTGTTAGCTGGAGACGTCCATGTCCTTCCCATTAAGACAAGTGGCCAGGACCGGTGGTATATACCTGTAATCCCAGTTCTCAAGGAAGGAGGATCAAGCACGTGTGAGGCCAGCCTGGGCTATGTGGTGACTTTAGTCAAACCTTGTCTCCCGAGTTGTGCTACACACCAGCAGACGCTTCAGTTGTGGACTGACTTGGCTAACCGCTCATGTTTGCACAGTGAAAGTAACATGTTTCTAGAAACACGTTCTTGCTGAGAAGCCATGTGTGACTGGGCTGTACGCGGATGTGCTCACCATAGCAAAGGCAGAGGCAAGCCACCACTCGGTACGGAGGCTAACCTCGTTCTAAGATAGCCATGATGCGAACAGTCCAGCCTAAAGAGACCACCATGTTATGCCACGAGAGGATCAGAATAGTCTAGAGAACAAAATTCATGTAAGAGCAAAACTGTACTTGTGACTGTCAGACACTATTTTTGGGAAAACACCTGCTCGAGTACTTGAGGGCCAGGTGTCTGTGGAGAGAGTGAACATACATATTTGATGGCAGGAATGACTCATTAAGTAGGGCAGAGGTCAGCAGGCACATCTGGGTAAAAGATTCTTGCAACTTTCTATGGCCTTTGAAATTATTTATTTATAAATAAAGATTTTTAGGCAATAGGATGCAACAGCAGTTCTCGACTACAACTAGTTCTGGACACACGCCTGACAGCTTAGGGTCTAGTCTCCATAGCTCTAATTCCAAGAGCTCCCCCCTCTGTGGACACCCCTGGAACGCTTACACTTTACTAAGCAGCAGCTCCTTACAATCCAAAAAGCAAGCACTGC